TGTTTCCTAACACAAAGATACAGGTAAATAATAAATATCTGCTGCTTCAGATGAACAGAGGAGGGATGACAAGGCAAGACCAGACGAGATGGCAGGGGGAGAAGATCAGTATGGATTGGTATATATGCTATTGAAAAGAAAGAAAAAAAATATCCACACACCCCCAAGTAATTTTATTAGCAAATTTTGAGAAATTCTGTTTTAGAAATAGTTCAGTTCAGAATATTTTCAATAGCCTGATTTATTTATTAGATATTTATCAAGATACAGGTAAATAATAAATATCTGCTGCTTCAGATGAACAGAAAGATACAGGTAAATAATAAATATCTGCTGCTTCAGATGAACAGAGGAGGGATGACAAGGCAAGACCAGACGAGATGGCAGGGGGAGAAGATCAGTATGGATTGGTATATATGCTATTGAAAAGAAAGAAAAAAAATATCCACACACCCCCAAGTAATTTTATTAGCAAATTTTGAGAAATTCTGTTTTAGAAATAGTTCAGTTCAGAATATTTTCAATAGCCTGATTTATTTATTAGATATTTATCCCACCTTTATTATTTTTTATAAATAACTCAAGGTGATGAACATACATAATACTCCTTCCTCCTCCTTTTTTCTCCACAACAACAACCCTGTGAAGTGGGTTGGGCTGAGAGAGAGTGACTGGCCCAAAGTCACCCACTTAGGCTTTCATGCCTAAGATGGGACTAGAACTCACAGTCTCCTGGATTCTAGGGAAGCACCTTAATCACTACACCAAACTGGCTCTTTTATAACCCAAAGTACCACATATTACCACACAGTATCACATACACCAAATATTACATGGTGTGAGATTTATAAGTTTGTTTTCATACTGAAAAATGTGCAATTGAGGTAACTGAAAACAAACAACAACCAAAAGAGAAGCTATAATATACTGTACTATAAGGACTGATTTCAATCTTGCATGATTTTTAAAAAATTTTTACAAGACTTAATCTGCTCTGCCAATATGTTTCAACATGACGAAGTAAGGACAGACTGTTTTTTAATAATTAGGGTTTAATATGGATAAATTTATTTTAAATATGCACTTTTGATTCATAATAAGTTTCTCAGATAAAATATATCTTATTTAATTCAATATTTTTAGCAACAACAGCAACAAACACGGTCTGATCTGTTAGAACTTACGGTATTTCTTTATGGATATTACCTGGACACAACCACTGTCTGCACCTATCCTCTACTGGACAGAGCCCCAAGTCAGGAAGGTTCTGGTTCAGCTCTCACCCCAATTTACAGGAGTCCACCATCAGGTTCAGCACCCTCAGCAAGTTGGGGGTAACAGAACTGACCTTTCAGGGCTGCTTCAAGGCTTATTTAAATAAATTCCCTCTGCACACATTAGAAGAGCCGAAGAGTTGTTTAAAGGGAGCCAAAGAAATCTCCGGCGACCCTCTTCAGTTACCTCAATTGCACACCAAGAAGCAAGAGCTCTGTCTGCAGAAGCGAGGCAGGCGGATGACCTTTATTTTGGCGTTCAGGCCTCCAGTTCGCCCCCACCCGCTTCCCCTTCGACTGGGGCACCGGTCGCCTACCACATACCGCAGTAACAGTCGGAGAGCGGTACCGAATCCGGCCGCGGGAAACATGCTCATATCGGCGGCTCCAAAAGGCGGCAGGAAGGAAGCACCGACGGTCTTCTCTTTCTCCAGCGTGCGCACCGTAAAGGGCGCCGGAGACACTCTCTCCAATAATCTCTCTGGTTAAGCAAAGTGTCCAATCTCCGCCGAGTTTGACTCTGTGATGTACAAACGTGCACCTTTCCATCTCCATGGTAAGCGGATGTGACGATTCAAGCCCTTCTAGCGTGCCATGCTAGAAATGAAAACTCTATGGGAACGGGAAGCGGTCTTCCACAATGCCAAACTTCGTTACCCAGCTGCCATTGCAACGCTCCGACAACAACGCGAGACGTAGTTTTTCCGCGATTCGGATTCTAAGTGGAAAAAGCTCCGGGATGGGATTTGAGTGCGCCTTCGGACGGGTGGGGCTCCGCGAAGAGTTCAAAGGATGGAAGAACATAACTTACAGTTTACCATATGAGCTTATTAACAGCTCCCAAGAGGAGGGCTAATTTAAATTCTGACCGAGGCAGTGAAGTCAAAAGATCAGACGCAAAAATAAATAAATAAATAAATAAAGGTCAAAAGATCAGACTCAAAAGAGTGCAGTAGATGGACATTTGATCGCTATTGAATTTGATTTGTTTAGCAGGAAAACTGCTACAATGTCTTGAGAAAAATAGAAGCGGGGACACAGTTTATCCGTAGTTCAGCTCATAGCAGCTTTTTCATGTCTATTTCAGACTTCTTGGTACAAAGGTTTATTTCAGGAAACACATTGCATTTGATTTATATTGTTACTGTACTGTACTTGTTGGCAGATATTGATAAAAAAGGTGCTGATTAAAAAATGGTATGTAGGAAGGTTTATGCTTCGTACGCAAAGTGCTCTTTGGGTGAAGACCCAGGAAAAATTCAGAGCATGTACATATGGAGCCCAGCCTGCCTCCTCCAGAAAATACTATATTCTAAATTTTATTACTGTATTCCTAAGTACCATCAGCATGGCACAAAGATAAATGAGACAGAGTATTAATTTAGCCTTTTAATTTAGCATATCCTGTTGTTGGGGGTATTTAAAAAGCTGAGATTTGTAATAATATGGTATTAATTGCCACTGTTCATTACAGCATTAAAAACATGCTTTAAAAAACCTTAAAAATTAAATATGATCTTCCACAGCAAAAAATCTTTTTAGTTTCACCTAGTGACTCTTCACTGCAACAGATGGCAGCATCTAGCCAACCCTGACCTTGAAAAAAACTAAGGTTGGACCTGCTTAGTACTTGGATGGGAGGGCCCAGGAAATCACAGGGCTGTAGGCTAGACTGGAAAGTTAAGAGAGGCAATGGCAAACCACTTCCATATTGCTGTCAAGAAGAATCACATGAAGAAGTCATCAGGAGTTGGCTCAAGGAGTCTTTATCTTTTTCTTGACTTCCTCATTAAGTAATGGTACCATTCAAAATAGAAGCCTCATCATTGAAGTACTATGTACCACTAAATTAAAAAATCTTTCTAAGCATAGTTTAGGAATTATATAGTCCCTGAAAGAAAAATAAATTGACTGCAGCATTATCTTTTTAAGGTCATCCTATTTTTAGATTGTAAGATGCATGAAACAGACGGAGATCGTAATGCAATGGCAAAAGTGTGTGCAGTCATGTTAAATCCTTTCCATAAATTGCCCGAACAGAAGGGGCAAAGGGAATATGTGGTGCTTTTTTTTTTTTTTTTTACCAAACACATGTTTCAGCATACAGTAATGTCCCTGTTTAACAAAGTTAATTTAGGTTGTTTGAGTAGAGCTTGAGGCAAAAAAGGCAGATAGTAATTCTGAAAGAAAAACTGAGCAGCACAGATTCAGCAGTCACAATAATGCTGTTTCCCATGCTTGAGGGGAATAAAGAAATTATCCTAAAATGCTAGCTGACCACATAGATTAATTCAGGACAGGTTAGCCCAGGACTAGCTCTAGGACAGATGGCGGTACACTTTGCCCAGGCCTTTATGCCCATTACTGGATACTCATTATAGATCAATGCAGCTTCTCAACAGAAATACATCAAAGTCTGTAATGTCAATGGGTAGGTGCTGCAGTGCAGATTATAGGCTATTTCCCCCCTTTTCAGTTGCCACCTTAAGACAGGAATAGTTATCACTAAAGTGCATGAAAACAGTGGGTATTTAATACCAGTTATTCTCAGGAAAAGGACTATAAGAATTGCATAACATTCTTTGTCCTCAGTCATCTGGAAACTCAGTGCCAAGAAATATTTAGGAAGTATTGAAATACTAATGTGGTTTGCTGATGGAGTGGCTGTGTGACTTGTTTAACATATATATGAAGACTCCACCCATGACTGATGATTGGAAGATTGCCATTATTCCTCTGTATAGGCACCAAGAGTGAATGCACCCCCCCCACACACACACACAAAACAGGAGGACTAGATTGTTAAGTGTGCCTGGAAAGGTGTTTGTCAGAATTCTGATCAAAAAGGGGAGACAGTAGGTAAACTTTGGGAGGTATGGTGCAGCTTTATGCAGATTTTAAGACCAGATATTTGTTCTTCAGGAGATCTTTGACAAACATAGAAATGGGAGAAAGAGTTTCCTGCATGTATGTAGATTTATAGAAACCATTGATAAAGCGAATAGACTTAAATTATGGAACATTTTACACAAATAGGGAGTTGAAGGTTGGTTGCTGAATACTGTATGTGTAATGTGTCCTCCGTGATGAAGCATGCCCCTGTAGGTCTATTAACTTCCACAGGAACAACAGAAACAGCCTTGCAAGATGAATGATTCTCAGTTCTGCACTGCTCATTTACAGTGACGTCCTGGAATATTGCAGAATGGAAAATCAAACACAGGAAATCCAATTTGATTAACTATTTGGTCGAGGACTCATCCGCAAGCCTGCTTATTGTTTGTTGAAGGCACATCCTCTCAATGGAGCCCCCCACTCCTAGATGGACCACTACTGATGCAGGCTGAAGTCAGTCTGAGGTGTTAGCAGTGTTTCTCAACCTTGGGAATTTTAAGATGTGTGGACTTCAACTCCCAGAATTCCCCAGCCAGTCTTGAAGTCCACACATCTTAACATTCCCAAGGTTGAGAAACACTGTGTTAGAGTGTGAAAGTAGTGTTTCCCCAGCTGGAGATGGAGGAAGAGCCTCTGGTCAGGAAACTGCTGGCTCCAATTGGCCTGGTGGGCCAGTGGTAGGATTTGTGCACAGTTCTGCACCTCCATGGCCCTTTGTTTGTGACTGCCAGAGAAACCAGATATCTTTGGTGTGCAGCTATATTTTTGTTTGTGTGTTTTGATCAGGAGAATGTCAACCTTGTGCAAGGTTGAATGTAGGTCTTCTGTAAGGTTGATATTTCCAATGGTAAGCAGAAAGCAGAGCCTTGCCTGTTATCTTTTTCCCCAGTGGTGAGTGGAAAGTGGCTACAGAGCGCATCTCCTTTTCAGCCACTGCACCAATTATCTGATTCTAGTAAAACACTTTCATTTAAAAAATAAGCAGATTTTAGTTGCTTTGCAAATCACAGGATTGTGTACTCTTCATGGTTGTGCATGAAGGCAGCAACACTTTCAGAGATAACATTTTACCCCTCTTGCCTGGACCCTAAACAAACACACTTTCCAACTTTTCCTGCAAATCTGGCTTGGTGTGAAAACAGGAAAAGCGGAGAACATATACAATGCCATGATTGTGAACCTCATCAAACTCAGCAGGATTTACTTCAGCAAAAATCTGCATAGGATCCAACAGCCCAGGCTGCAGGAAGTTTCCCCTCCCTCTGTTTCCCTTTCTTCCTTTCCAGAAAAGAACTTCTAACAAAAATAGTTAGAAGCCAGAAATCTTGGTGTTTTAACAGGATAAGGAATGAAAAAAGATTACCTGTAGCTGAAACAATAATGCCTTTTTGAGAAAGAGGATCAGATTGCAGTCCCGATGCTTTTCTCTGCTCTCCTGCATTTCCAGGGGAAGCCAATCCAGAGTAACTGAAACAACTCAGCTGTACAACTGAGTTTTAATTGTGAGCTGCCCAGTCACCCATTGGGGGAGATGGGCAGCATACAAATTAGATAGATAGATAGATAGATAGATAGATAGATAGATAGATAGATAGATAGATAGATAGATCCCAGTGCTGTTGAACCTGAGGAACATGCATATTGGACAGGTGCCACTATGAGAATTTTAGGTCAAGTGGCTCTCTCCTATAGCTTGTTGAATTCTTTGACAGATTCAAGGTTAATTGCTGCTTAGGTAGTGAACCCTTACTACTGGTCTTGGAGCCACATCACATGGAAAATTGCATGTGGAAGATTTAAAACCAATCTGAAAGTAGAAGTTAGAGCCTTACATCTCAAGTAGACTGGGAAAATTGTTTCTATGATAGATTGATGAATGTACACAACTTATATCATTTATCACAGAAAACCAGCCTAATGCAGATTCATTGATAGAGCCTGAGGATTTGGTACCGTGCCTCCAAACATTATTACATGCTCACACTAAAGGAGCAAAAAAGTGGTGCATACCTAATGCAAAATCAGCCTGGGAGCAACTTACTGTGCCTATACGGTGAACCCTAAAGTCCTGTATAATCAATCCTACAAAACATCGTAAATGTTTACATTGAAAAATGGATGAGTGGAGTTAATTGCTTGTAACAGCTAAATTAAGTGATACTTTTTGGAGATTCCTATCTGCCCATTTGTATACAGAGCTCCATGCCTGGAGTGCAATGTTCCTGTAATGAGGTGGGAGAAGAGTATTTCCATGCGTTATATGCAGAAGAGGCCGATCCAATCAACTTATTGGAGAAGGATTTTTGGCCCCTTCTGCATTGCCCACATTTTGACATCAGGAGTCTCCACACTGATCAGTCTGCTGAAATCAGGAAAGGCAACAGGAGTGACTTTTATCCCCATCCCACCCCCAGTGATTAAAAAGGATTCAGAGTCAGGGCTGGCTTTAGGCTAAGACCAAATAAACACTGGCCTAGGGGGCACGAATGCCTCCCCTCCTTCCAAAAACAAAGGCTATTCTCAAAATGCAAATCTTCACACTGAGCTCAATGTGGCTTGAAGTAGGATGTAATTGATCTTAAAACGTGGATACTTCTACAGATTTTTTGGTTTGTAAATGGGTGAAAATTCCCTGAATCTTGGAACACAGCATGCCTTCTGTATTCTTGATGGACCACCCCAGTGATCACAACCCAGTGACTATTTGGTAGAATGCACATTCATGCAGAGGCTAAAACTCCAACACAGGATTTAAAAGAAGCAGAGACTGGGAAAGTTTTAAATACTTATTTTTATTGTCACTGATTCCATTCTGTCTACACCAGCCACTAAGTATGAGACACAAATCTTCAAAAGCAGTAAGGATAGATGGGATGGAGACTGAAAAGACATACCATATTGGGGTAGGCTGTGTTCAAGATCAGGTTTTCAGAAGACGTGGAGGGAAGTGGTGGAGAGGTGTCAGAATTTAGGAAGGAAAGGAGTTGAGTGTGCTGGGCAGAGTGAAGGTCACTTGCTTGGCTAGATGTGACCACTGAGAGAGAGAATGCAGGCTCAGGGCCGTGCCATATGGTGGATCTCATAAATTCTGGCTTTGGAGCATGCTTAAATGCTATTTTTCCCACAAGAGGAGTTTTCTGAATGGTGCACATAACAGTGACTGCTTGAGAACTAAGCTCTCTTGTCCAACTAATGAAAAGCTAGGTGAGTGGGCTGCGGGCCACTATCTCTCCACAGCTGGTTAGTAGCATATAGGATGTTACAGATTCTTGATCCTGGCAGCATTTTAGACAGGGTGGAATGGGAAATTACAGACAGACAGTGGGACATTACCCAACACCAAGGGCTCAGCTCTCCTCTCCCCACTGAGGGAATAGCAATGGTGTAGCAAGTACAGCAGTGACCAACAAATGATAGTTTTACAATGTTTTAGAAACCCACCCCTCCCTTTCCTTGTAAACCAAGAGATTAGTCAAAGGAAATAAGCTGAGCCTCTCCACTTCCCCCTTGGGCCTGCTGCACCTGGGGGGGAGTCTGCTGGGGAGGAGGCTGTTGTTGTGGAGGCCCTCCGGGGGGTGCCATCTGCAAGAAGATAAATGGAAGTTAGCATGGAGAGAGAGCACTTCTTCCACTGAAATTATTACAGGAAAGGATTACCAGCACTTGCTCCCTTAGCCCAAGGGTTGGTAAAGAGCCATTATCCTAATGCCAATAAGGTGAAGGAATTCAAGGCATTATCATTAGTACTGAGTCAGGAAAAAAAAAAGATTACCCTGAAAAATTGGTCAAAGAGTTACCTGTTGATACATAGGCTGTTGTCCTGACAGGTAAGGCTGCTGGGGTGGCAGGCTACTCAGACCTGATTCCTGGCCAGGGAGGGTTGACATAAGGTTCTAGCAGAAAAAGAGGGTGTCAAGCTTTGCACCAGAACAAGTGGCCCCTTCTTGAAATGCAGCCCCTTGGACCTTAGGAATGAGCTTTCCTACCTCTATGAACATGCAACTACATATTCCCCTGTAACTCTGCTGATGGCCCTCTCATTCATTCCTCAGCAAAGGAAACAGCACAGTAATTAAAACAACTTCCTCACCTGCATGTTGTAGGGCTGGTACCCCATTGACACTGACTGACTGCCCATGTAACCCATAGTACCCCCAGACTGAGGAGCTGCTTGTGTCATGGCAGGGATAGTCTGCGTTTGGGAAGGGGCGGCTGCATTCTGCAAGGTAAAGAAAATAGCTGGACCAAGATGTCACCTGCACAGCAACTTGGAGCAGAAAATTTTGATACCCAGAGATTTCCAAAGAAAGTCTAGACACACTTTGACATACAAACAAAACGTGATGCATTTTGTTTCTAGAAAGCTGGCAAAGCCTGCTTTTTCCACAAGGAAACAAAGACAGCACATGTGGATCTCTCCCTTATTTAATCCTCCCAATTAATCCTCCTTAATTAAGCTGAGGACTTGACCAGCCCTAGAGCACCCTGTGAGCTTCATGTCTGAATAGGGATCTGAATGGGGGTT